TCCCGTTTGGTCAAGAGATTCCCGCCTCTACGTCACGCCGGTAGATGGGGTAAAGGCTTGGCCAATCAGGAACCTTTATGTTCTACCCGCTCTTCTTCTTCCTCCGTTCGACGAAATACACTATCGAGCACATCCAGGCGCAAGATGTAGCGCTTGTCGCGGTGCTGCAGATAAATGTCCTCGGCGACCTGGAACAGCCCCTTCCTGCCCAGGATGCTGTCGGCGTAGTTGCCCCACGGCATGCACTGTAAAAAATATTAAGAATTTTCCTAGTCCATTGGGTGTATGATTTCCCAGCGGCAACTGGGATTTTCAATTCCCAACCCAGTGGGTTTGCAATGGCCAATCCCTTTCGAGGATTTGAATTTTCAAGTCTATGTGGACCTGTGAAATTTTGGTGCGAAAGCAGAAAATTCATGCCTGGAAACGAAAAATTCCGAATTGGATAAGAGGTTTGTCATTAACAGACCCACAACTTGAATTTTAGTGTCGGGTTGACAATCCTGCAACTACAAACCAGAATTTCCCAACCCATACATGGAAATAGTGTTTCCTAACCCACAACTGGGATTTGGGGAGCTCCGCTCGCGCGCCCCTTCGCTTTAGAGTATATAGGACTCTACTTCGCTTAAGAGAGCTAGCTGACGCCATCTCTCCACCTCCCGCTGCGTAGCGGAGGGGTAACGTGGAAGAGAAGCAACCCGTAGGTCCATGATCGACTCCCTCTCGGGCCGTTTTTTTTTAGTAGCTCATTGTGGCCCTTATGGGACCAGGTGCGTTCCCTAACCCACAACTTGAATTTTCAAGTTGTCGGTTACGGAACGATATTCCAACCCACAACTTGAAAATTCTTACGTGGATACAATTCTGTCAATCACAAGCCCTCTGGGTTGAGGATTTTCCCAACCCGTGGGTTAAGAAATTCATCCACCCATGGATCAGCAAAATCCCACGACAAAAGTGAGAATCGAGCGTTTCACCACCCAAAACTGGGATTCTCTTAATTTTTTTTCTACAGTGCAGGGCCGCCGGCGCGGCGGGCACGTCGATCGGCAGGGCGATCGGAGAGCTCCGGAAAACGTTCTTCCACCACCCCCTCCCCCTGTTGTAGCAGATTTAGGAGACACTTCCGGGGAGCTCTCCCTCCTTCGATAATATTCTATGTACCGGGTGTCCCGGCTCTTACATGCCAGTATGTATGGCGGGTTGAATATGCGCTGGCTCGCAGGCGCGGTCGCGCTCCTGATAGCGCCTGCGAGCCGGTGCTTATGCAACCCAACGCACTGGCATGTAAGAGCCGGGACACCCGTACATAGTGTATGTTCACAGAAATGCATTCGTACAGTGAGTTCTTGATCACGAACCTGAGTCCTGCTACGTGACCACGTGTTTGTCGCACACCTGCGTGTTGTTTCTGCCGGGTTTCCCGCGGAAGGGCTGCGGGGCCTGCAGTGCGCACGGCCGGGGCCCCTGTGCGTGTGACCCCGTGGCCCGGGCAGATTCAGAGCGAGGGGCGTGATTCCCGGATATCAGGAGGATTGGGATGACAACAAACAAGAAGCAGGCATACAGTGTAACTGTTTTTATTTTCGAAATAAACATTTTATAAACAATCTATTAAAGCCTTTCGCTCTGGTTTTGTGAGGGGTTGCAACCACCGCGCATATGGATAGAATCAGTGCGGCCACCATTAAAAGGTTGTCAAAAACAATCGTCATGATTTCTGATTTCTGTCGAACAGACAAGTCGTTTACAATTTTCAACTTTAAGGAGCTGCAGACAAAGGCGAGCCGCCGCCGCCGCCGCCGCCACCGCCACCGCCGCCACCGCCGCCACCGCCGCTGCTGCTGCTGCTGTTGACGATGCTGCTGATGGCTGCCTCGAAGTCGGCAGCCCACGGCTTGTGCTGGACTATGCTTCTGATTAGAGCAAGACTGACCAAGTCTTCAGTAGGGTCGTCGAGGCCCCCGTCGCCTTCTTCTCCGTCTTCCTCGCCGTCCTCCTCGGGCTCGTCCGTCACTGCGTCTGCGACGTGCGTGTTGTTGGTCGAACCACCCCCAGAGCCTCCCTCCTCCAGGAGGGCGGGAAGTTCCTCGCGGACGAACTTCTCCGCAGCAGGCTTGTCAGCAGACAGCGTCTCTCCAGCGATGTCCACCCCGTGCAGGCCGAACCTCTTGATAAAGTTGCTGCACCAGCCGTTGCTCGCCCTGAAGGATTTAGGCCCGCCTTGTGTTTTGTTGATCGCGAGTGCCTGCCGCTGGATGGCGGCCATCGGGACGCTGCCGTTCTCGAGTGCCCGCTCCCGCGCGAACCACTGGAACAGCTCGGCCTCCATGTCCGGCAGCTGGGCTTTCTTCATGCTGCTCTTGGCGGAGTGGTCCCCGGGGAACTGCGAGATGGCCGCTGCGCTGCGTCTCCAATTACTCACAGAGCGCGGCGTGATGTGGAGATCCATGGCAATGGTGCTGATGTCTTCACCAGCATCCAGACGACGGAGAGCCTCTTCTTTCTCGGAGAGGGACGGCCTCCTCCGACGGCTACCGCTGGCCGGTGTCTTCGGGGGGGTTGCACGTGGAGGGCCCATGGCTGCAGACAGGGACAGCGAGACACAGCGACACAGAGACAGCGAGGTGTTCACAAGGCGACAAGTTCTCAAGGAATGATAAGGTGCCCCAAATTGCACCTGGTCTTATACGTTCGAAGGGGGTGCCCCAGGGCCCCGGGGCCACGGAGTCAAGCACAGGGGGCCCGGCCCGGACGCCCGGACCAGCTTAGACCTCTTCCCGAGGGCCACTAATCCCCTGCCCGGGCCGGAGCGCTCGTCACCTGTCAGAGCTTGGCCGGCCCTCGCCCGCCTGCCCGAGAGTGGTGGGGATGGGTCTCGGAAGATAACCGCGGGGAAGATAACCGAGGAATGACTGTACTTTTCCACAGGCTTTGCAGAGGTTGTCGCTTCTAGCTCTAGCCACCAATCTGGTACACCCACCCCCCTTTCCGGGACAAGTCCATGCGCGGGTCAGAACGCAATGTTGTGCAGTCGTGCGCCGGAGACCGCGGGTACGAACTTACTGACGGGTGCGGGCGAGACGGGCTCACGCGAGGCCGACCTCGCGACAAGCAGCTCGTCGACGACCGTGGCGGTGCTGGTCCATCCAACACCATTCGGCGATCCTGATCCTGGGCGTGCTCCCCCCCCCCCTTCTCCCTCCCCTCCGAGGCTTTGCACCTCCGCCGTCGCCATGATCCGTGTCCGGGAGTCCTCGGGTCGGGCGCGCGGCGTACTCAATGACGGGGTCCTCGATCCAGAGGTGACGCTTGCGGGAGCGAGGCGAGCCGGACGATCCTGGTGCGATTGCATCACGCGGTAGGGATGGGCGGGATCGCACGTGCCCCTAGGACCAGCGGCAGCTACTCGACGACCGTGGCGGTAATGTGGCCCAACACCAACACCATTCGGCGGCGATCCCGGGCGTGCTCGCCCCCCTCCCCCACCTCCCTCTCCACCGAGTTGTCTCGGGTCGGGTGTACTGAATGACGGGGACTAGTGTGGGTGGGACGGGCTCGCACACATGGGCGCAAGGGCCAGCAGCAGCAGCTCCACGACGAACTTGGCTGTGCTGTCGTCCAACGCGTCCCACTGGGTTGTTTCTTGTCCTGGACGGTGCGGAAGCAAATGACTGCCGTGCCCCCCACCCCCCGAGTGTTCGACCGTTCTGAAGGATCCTTCAGAACATACTGACAAGACAAACTTTGCTAATTTCAACGGTCATTTCAATCGACGGAGGAAGAAGAATGGCGAGTAGAACATAAATGTTACCGATTGGTCGAGAGCTTTTCCGCCTCTACGTGACGCCGGTAGTGGGGGTAAGCGCTCGGCCAAATCAGGAACATTTATGTTCTACCCGCTATTCTTCTTCCTCCGTTAGTCGAATCGTCGGAATACACTATTCGGCGAAGAATGGAGAGCATGGTCCCTCGTGTGACGAGTACCTGCCACCTGCCGTAGCTCGCCTGCTCCCTCTCGCCCCCCTCGGCCTAATCCCCATCCTTCCACCCAGCCACCCGAGCCACCCGGACCCGGACTACTCAGAAAACAGCAACATGTGCTTTGGATAGGATGATGCTTGTGCTCCCTTTTTCCTTGAAGCAAGTACCGGGTGTTGCATGAAGGACACAGGACACAGGTGCGGGCGGGTTTGCCTACCCACTCTGCCCGTAAGGCGCCATAGCCCCTTGGGTAGGCAAACCCGCACGCACCTGTGTCTTTTATGCAACACCCGGTACTGCATTTGTGTCGTTGCGCGAAGACTCCCTTTTCTCGATACTCGACATTGTATAAAGAATGATAATTTTGTGGTGAATCGGAAAGCTCCATCCCTATTCCAAGAGGGCCGTCGGGATGGCCTTTCTCCGGACAGGGGGCATGCGGGCGGAGGAGAGCGGGCGAGGGAAGGGGACGTTGGGAGTGAGAGGATGCAGAATGTGAAGAATGGGACCTAACTGCAAAAAAGGGTGCACACTGACTGGATGTCAAAATATTGGCAATGACTGAAAACTGACTGGACGTGACTGAGAATCTATGCTGGATTTGACAAGATCGGTTATTTACCTTCACTGGATGTGACTAGTGCTGTCGTCTCCGTAATGGTCAGGCATCGTTTGTCGTCAGGATCAAAATTAAATTTGAACGAGATCGTTTTGAGAACCCCAAACTCGTAAACCAATCAGATCGCTTGTCATTCCACCGACGCGAGCGCCATCCTACGGGCGTCTGGGACATTATGACCTACCTAACCTACCAAACAAAAAATCGTCCGTGTTCCCTTGTTTGGTCAATTTCAAGGCTGCTCAACAGCTTTCTAGTTTTAACAGAGAAATAATCCTTTCATGTGTTTTTAAAAAGAATGCATGATACGGCATGTTAGTAATGCGGAATGTTAAGAACTTGGTGGGACATGGTGGGATCCCTGAGGAAGAAAAGGCGCGTACTACTTCACCCCCCTCCCCTCTCCGGCAAAACAAAAACATCCTCCTCCGTTAGTCGTTAGTAGTCTGACGCCGGCCGACAAGTCCAGGCAGGTTAGAGGTTGGTTGGGAGAGTAAAAGTAGAAGTGTACGGTTTGTGGATCGAGTGAGTTGCTGAAATGAATGTCATCCATTTTCTTCATTACCTCTGATCCTTGAGAGTGTTGTCATGCTTCTCTGCTTTATTTCAGGGTAATCGATATCGCTGATCGTGTGTTATGTCGTGTGAAATCTTAGTGGTGCACCTATCCTAGCCGTTCATTTTCATTCAAGATTCATCTTCACGATGTCTCTGGAAAACTCTCAGTACACCTTTCACAGTCTCCAGGATGTGTCTAAAGAAGACTTTAATAAAGGTATGCCTGTCTGATTCTTGCGTCGAAATTTGAAAAGGACCATTTTAAATACATCGTCAACTTTAAAATCTGTTTGCTGTGTCTTGGAGTCAACTGTTTCTTATTTTCAGAGGTTGATAGAATAACCAAGGAAGTTGATCAGGCCAAGGATGATGGATCAGCTCCTGGTGTTCCTGCTAAGCGAGGGAGGTACACTCAAGAAGCCAGCTCTCAAAGTCAACCAAGCCAGGTAACTTAATGTGGCACACATTGATGCTGTCTCCCGGAGTGCCTCTTACATCATGTCGAGCCTTTACCTTCTCGTGGTTTTTGTAGATACGACCAGTCAGTGGAACTATCCTTGAGGTGGTGCTGGAAGATTTTCTGTGTCACGCTAATATGAAAGTTACTCTCAACAAAGAAATCAACTTCATTGTGGGAAGAAATGGTAGTGGCAAAAGTGCCATTCTGACAGCTTTAGTTGTTGCCCTAGGTGGTAGTGCTAGCACAACTGGCCGAGGAGCTGCTTTGAAGGGTATGGTAGCACTTTTGTTTAGCTTTGTATGAATCAGAATGCTGCTCGAAGTGTTAATTTCGTTTTATTTTCCTTTGTAGATTTTATCAAGCATGGGTGCAATTCGGCCCGAGTCACTTGTGTTATTAGCAACGCAGGGGCCATGTCTTACAAGAAAGAGATCTATGGCGAAAAAATCTCTGTTGTCAGAACACTGCATGGAACTGGTGGATCTGCTATTAAATTGAGGTCAGAGAGAGGTAAGCATTTTCATTTGATTTTCTCTCTTTAGTACACCTTTGCCTATTTTATCATGTATGCTTGCTGTCTTCAAGGAAAATTAATTTCGTCTAAAATGGAGGATTTACGAGCTATGACACTTCAATTAGGGATTCAAGTTGATAATCCAATCAGTGTTCTGGATCAGAACACAGCACGACATTTCCTAGCTCAAAGCAAGCCTGAAAATAAATTTGAATTATTCATGCGGGCTACCAATTTAGACACTCTTCAAAAAATTTATGTTGACATCACTTTATCTGTTGACAAAATTAAGCAAGAAATTGCCAAAAAGGAGCGTGTAAGTTGCATTGAATTAAGCTTCTAGACATATTCTTACCTGTTGTTAGAATAACTTACCATTTTGTTGTACAGCAACTTGTTGATAATAATCTAGAGGTGAAAGAGGCTGAGCGCATGTACAAATTATTGGCTAATCTTGAAATAGATAGAGACCGGACAATTGACTTAAAAATGGAATTGCTGTGGGCAGAGGTAAAATAAACAGTAATTTATATAAATCCCTTCTGTGGCTGAAGTGCTGTTGTCTCATTTTGCCAATAACTTTTTTCTCTAGGTACGAGACTACATGATTAACCTACAACGTGTACAGAAGGATCTTGCTAAAGCTCAAAAAGAAAAACAACATTTGGAGAAAGTGTTGTCATCAGCTGAAAGTACTGAAACAGAACCTCTTCTTCAGGAAATTGAGTAAGACTTTCATTGCTCTTCAAATCTGTAAATTTTCTCCGTAAGCCATGACTATTTTACCATCATTCCTTATCTTTAGGTCTTTGAAAACAGAAGTCAAAGCTTTTGAAGATGAGAAGAAAGACTATGAAAATAACTTGAAAGAATTGAAAATTCAATATTCAGCACTGACCCAGAAACTTAGGAAAATAGAACAAGAAAAATGTCTCAAAGAAAGGAGAATCAAGGATGACATGAAGACTATCAATGAATATAAAAGTGAGATTCGGTCTCAAGAACAGAAGTAAGCACACTTTTCCCTTCATCCTGTTCCTTTCAAAGTATATTTTGTGGACTTACCAATTTTTTGGCTCTTTAGAATGTTACCAGAGCATGTTGAGATGAGGCGAAAGCAGAAGGAGGAGATCCATGAACTTCAAAAGCTAAAAGAACAGAAGACTGAAATCCGTAATGCTAAGGACCGTGAAGCACAAGAACTCCAACGTCAGCTATCCGCTGCTAAGTCTGAGCTCTTTCCATTACAACAAAAGAAAAGGCAGCATGAAGAAACCATAAGTATGTAGTTGAATAAAATTCCGATTCATGCACTTGAGTCATGATATTCATACTTACATTTGTTACATTTTCCAGGATCTTTATCAACAACCCTTCAAGGGCTACAGTCGAATGAGTCCAACTTGTCCCTATTTGGGCCTAACATGCCGGAATTGGTGAGACAGATTGAACTATGTAATAAATTTAAGAAGAGACCGGTGGGTCCCCTGGGTAAGTTCTTACATTTAAATGAAAATATGCATACCGAGTGTAGTAACTAAACTTACATTTTTTTACTGTTTTACAAATATCTAGGGGCGTATGTCAAGGTTAAAGACCCCAAATGGGCTCTAGCTGTTGAATGTGCTATGAAGTCACGGCTGAGCACATTTGTAGTGGAAAACATTGATGATCAAAGACTTCTGCAGAGTTTAATTAAAAAAACAATGACAAGAGGTCATCCACCATCAGTAGTTCGTTGTGCATTCACTACTTCGGTAATATTTTTTACTTAGAAGCACCATTTGATATTTTATTTAATTATTGTAAATGTCTAATATATTTCCTTTGTAGCCATTTGATACATCAGGAACAGCTGCTCGGACTTCCGAGTACTGCAACGTTTTGGACATTGTTGAGATTACGAATGTAGTTGCTAGGAATATGCTCGTGGACTCTTGCAGTCTTGAGAAAATTATGCTCATTCCTTCTGACGACGAATGCTATAGATTGTTGTCGAATGTGCGTTCGGTGCCAAGGAATTGTGGTAGAGCCTTCACTCTCAATGCTGACACATACATGCCAGCACCACGTTATGGATCTTATGCATCCAACCAGCGATCTGCCACAATCTTACAACAATCATCACGTGCGGAAATAATCAGGTACCCCACTACTTTTCTGAAGTTATTATGCCTTGTAGTCAATTTCAATTATGAGGTGTTAAAACTTCTTATTTGTCCAGCCAAACACAACAACAAATCGAAGAGCTGCGGGAAACACTGCAGGCTGTGCAGCAAAGTATAGCTACTACCAGTAATGACACTATTAATATTAGCAAGCAGTTAGAAATCTGTCGAAATGCCCAGAAGAAACTCTCAGCTGAAATTTTGTCGGCAACAGCCAAGTTGGAGAGATTAAAAGATATTGAGCAACCCGACACCAACTCTGTGTCTGTGTTGCGAGAAGAACTTCAGTCAAGGGAACAAGAGTTGCTTCAACTCAAAAATAGTCTTGATGACATCCCTGCCAAAGTAAAGTTTGTTGAAGCTGAAAAAGACGAACTGAAGCTGAAAGGTTCTGACGTACAGGCCAAGCTTAAGGAAGTAAATGATAGAATTGAAAACCATCAAATAAAGCAGAAAACATGCAGGGATCAGTTAGATGAGCTGCAGAGTGCTAAAGCTGGGAAGAAACGGAAATTAGAGCAGGTTAGTAAGCAAGAGGACCAATTGATTGTCCGTTCTAATGAGTTGGAAGAAAAGCATACTAAAGCAAGAGATGCTGCTGTAAAATATGAAGATCACGTTCGTTCAGACTTAGAAGATAGAAAGAAAGCAAAAGAAGATAGAGAGAAAGCAAAAGAAGCTGCTGATGCTGCTCCTAGTAATTCCCAGAAAGTTGAAGAAATTAGGCTGAAGGAATTTCAGTCCCAATCTAATACCAAGAGGTATAGTCTTGCTTGCATTATTTTTTTTATCTGCTGTCAAGGGGAATCTAACTTTTTTATTGTCTTCCTCTGCAGGAATGTGGAAGTAATTGATCGTGAGTTACGTACTCTTAATAAAAAGCTAGCTAGTGCTGAAAGAGCGCTAGGGGAAAATTCTGGTAGCATAGAGGTGCAATATAAGGAGAAATTGATTGCATACAAAACTACGGAGAAGTACATTATACAGTTAAAAGTTAATGCAGAGGTATAGTTAATTAATTAATTGATATTAGCCATGATTTGAGTAAAACTGATATGCTACTCCACCTACAATACTAAGCCTAATGTTTTTTTACAGTATATGAAGCTGGCTCTTGAACAACGGAAAGGTCTTTACCATACCCAGAAAAAGCTAATGAATGGTGTAGTTTCCCATCAATTTACTCGGGTCTTAAGATTCCGAAATTGTACTGTAAGTCTATTTCTATTCTAAAATAAGTCTTGAAGAGAGTGTAAAGATTTAAAGTTAATATCATTTAGGCGGTGCCACATAGTTTTTGACTAACTCTCAGATAAAATTCTGATCTACATCTTGATAAGGATCAATTACGATGTAAACTCACACACTAATGCATTTTTCAGGGGACTGTTCGTGTGAATTTTGAAAGAAAGACATTGGATATTTCTGTGGGGCCTGTTGATGAAGGAGAAAGGGCAGGCCTAGGAACGTCATCGCTCTCGGGTGGGGAGAGGTCCTATGCAACTATGGCTTTTGTCATTGCACTTTGGAATGTGACTGAATTACCTTTCTATTATTTGGATGAATTTGATGTTTTTATGGTAAGTTCATGATTTCTGAAATGGTTCTGAGAAGACTCTATCCATTTTCTTACATTTAAATTTTCTTTTTAGGATATGCTCAACCGGCAGACTGTACTCACACTACTATTAAGGTTTGCCAAGCAGAAAGTTGGTTTCCAGTTCGGTTTTTTGACTCCACTTGACACAACTGCAATTACTGGATCAGACCGTGTTACTATATTTAGGTATGTCTTATTTTTGCTTTTTTTTTTGGCCTTCTTAATTGAATGCTTAAACGTTGGGATTCTTAAGGAAGTGACTTTAGGGTTTAGAACAAATTTGAGTGTCCCCACCAAAATTGCACTTGTCACATTAGTTTAGTTGTGTGTTGGACACTTAGGCTCAACTCATACCTATTCCCGTTAATATCTAATTATAGTCATTTTTTTTTTCTTTAGTACTGTGATCAGGGACTAAGTAAAGTGATAATTATTGGTACTTAAGTCAACATGTTAAAGTTTTTTGTTTTTTTTTAACCCAACTAATATTTTTTGTGTATTTTTGTTTTGCAGGCTCGCCGATCCAAGAGGAAATCCTCAATAACATTGCAAGCTCAACTGTGACATATATTACGTTTCACACATGATATATATATATTTATATGATACATTTAGTCACTTTCACTATATTTCATAATGTAATGAAGAAAATTGTATTTCATTCATATTTTTATAAATGAGTTTTGTTGCTAGTTCCATACAGATTTAATTACTTCAACCCTCATGTCTTGAAGTAGAGGTCTTCAAAGTTGACAATTGTAGGCATGCTCTGCTTTCAAAATTAAATTAACTTTGTATCCCTGTTGAGGGTGAACCCTAAATGAAGCCAGTACATCGGAGAGGAGAGAACCCCTTGTGTTGGTCGGGACAGGCTGTCTAGGCTGCTAGTCCGGTCCATCGCGGTTTCATGTGCGGAGCGCAGCTAGCGTTAGCGCGCCGAGAAGGTAGGCCACCCAACTAATCAGGCTGAAGGTAGGAGAGACCAAGAAGGTTTAAAGTGAATCGTGTAGGTCTTTCCTTGAAACGATAACATGCTTGTAACGGGCGAAGTTATCTGTTTTATGTCATTTCCGAGACGAGTTGGTTCTAGTATCGGACGATTTCTCACTAGACTCCGAATCTCCCGCGTGGCCCGCCCCGCACATGTAAGTTGGTGCGCTGGCCAAGAGATGGCGCTAGCCTTCGAAGGACGACTCCAGGCCCAGGCCAGGTTTCTCCAGGTCCCAGGTCTGCTCCAGGCCCGAGCTTCGCCCTGTGGACTGCAGGGCACGCAACGCAGGGGCCTCTCACTGAAGATCAACTTGCTATTTCCCAGAAATTGCACTATTATCTATCACTATGTTTCCTTTGCGATGGGCAAATAAATTGGGAGCCCTTTTACGGTATTTTGCGTAACTTTAGAGCCTTCCGAGGTTATTTGATTTGGGCTCTTTCTCCCCCCACCTCTGAAGAACTACAACTAGCGAGCTGCATTCCCTGGATAATATGCTCTTGGCATGTTCGGTGCCGACTTCGCCCGACTGGAACTAGATTGTAGAATCTCGGGCGTTATTCCCCGCGGGCTTCTCCGGTGCCGATTGCCGATGTCCGGCCGGCGGCTATCTCGCTGGAGGCTCCAGCGGCTCCGCGGAGGGGCGGGGGGGTCGCGTGGCCACGGGCCTCGGCTCGGGGTGGGCTCGGCCGTGTTCGGCTCGGCAGTCGGCAGTCCGTGCGAGACGAGCCTACCCAGCGTGCAACGGGCGCGCCGCGCAGCGCCGCGGCTGTGTTGTGTCCTTGTGGAATAAACATTCACTCCAGCAACGAGACGGGACGGGCGTAACCCCCCGTGTATGTCGCTCAAATTTTATTTTCCGCCCGCCGCCCGGAAAAGTGTGTGAGAGCGAGTGCGTGCGCGGGCGCGGGGCGACAAGTGCGAGAACGTCGCGGTGCTAGTGCTCCGGGGCCGCCCAGCGGCGAAGAAAAGTTGTCGAGTGATCGTGTACGAAACTAGTTGGGTCTGGGCCGGCTGGCTGCTGCTGACGTAGGGATGTGGAAAGTTTGGTGTGTTTGCGGCTTTTCCGCGACTTTTCCGTGAGCCGGGTTGGCGAGTGCGGTGCCCCGCCGGCACGGCGCGCAGTGGAGTGGTGGAAAGTGTTCTGTGAAGTGGTTAGGCCGAACCGAGAGCCGTGATTTCGGTTTGTGAACCAAGCCTACTCGGTACTCCTCCAGACGTCCCGACTCTTCCCGCCGCCTATTTCACCTGTTTTGGATTTTATAAATTACTGTGCATCTGCAACGGATAACTTGGATACGTTCGTCTTTGCTGTTGATCATTTCTGCCGGTTTTTAACATGAATTTAGGTAAGTTTTGAAAGCGTCTGTTTTCGTTTTGGGTATTTATTTACTTGGGCAGACTAACCTAATTCTTTTCAATTGTGGTTTTGGTGTAACACAATTAACATATTCTGAACAATTGAGACCTTACATCTTTATCTATTTTACATTTTATGAGCCGTTTTATTGATTTCTGTCATAAAAGTACAGTTTTAATGTCTTAACCTTACTTTTGACCAATGTCCCATTTGCTTGTCATAGGAAAGGTAGAGTTGAATACTTGGATTTGTGTATGTTTTACACTCCATTGACTTTAACTGTTTCACATTTTTAAATAACGATACAGACAATTTTATGTCAATTTACACTTGTTTTAGTTTTAAAAATTAAAATTTAAAATGTCATCTGCTATTTCATTATGTTCTTGCATCATTATTAATCTCACATTGTAAGGGAAGCTTGCTATACTTCAGGGGAATTTGAAGCAATTTTTTGTATTATGCACTAAAATCTTATGTGTGAGAACATTTTGATGCTGTCATATTATTTGTGTATTCGAATCCAAGTTTCTTTAACATTACGGTTTTACTAGGTAATATTAGAATCACTGTAAATTGGACCAAGGTATTATATCATCATTCTGGTTCGCAATGCCCTTCTTAATTCGTGAATTAAATAAAACAAAAATAACAAAACTTGTGATCAACACTTTTAGTGCAAAATGCCCTCAATGTGGCTATACTTTGCTAGGTTTTCCAAAGCGTAATGTGCACATGTGGACTTTAGTACGTCCATGGTTATGTTCATTTTAATTTTTGTCAGAAATTAGTAATCACTGGCTCAGTAAAAATTTTCATGTTCATTTGTTACACTTTTATCTGAATCTGGTATCATCACTGGATTTACACTGCTTTAAGACCAGTTGCTGTGATAGACCAGTTTTAGATTACAATTTTTTGGTCATTGATGTATTTGAAGCGCATGCTATTGTGTTGTTTTTTCGTCTATAAATAATTTGTGTCTGACTTTTCAGTCATTTCCATTAAAACAACTGGGATTTTATGTAACAGGTATAGAGGCATAATGTTTTTAATGTTCCTGATTAATCTGACACCACTAACCTGTAGTCCTGGAACTAATTTGTGAGGGTCTTGTTTGCTGCATGCACGTTTGATTCTTGTTACAGCGGCACTGATCAGTGTTGCCCATTCGGCCATTAATAAACCAGTCTGTTGGTCTGGGGCTGGAGAGAGAGATGTAGGGACGTTGTGGGTGGAAATGGCCAGGGCAGGGCGGCCTGAGCTTGTCGCGAGGGTGCGCCCCGACAGTCATTGTCGCATGTTTAGAGGAAATCATATTGCTCGGTTTGAATCCGCCAGGACCATTTATCAGTCCTTGTCGGATTAAATGATGCTGGGAAGGGTAGGGGCGGGGTTGGGCGTGGGGAAGAGGT